AAAAAATTACCTTAGTCCTCCTTACTTTTCCTTCTCTCCGCCAAATCCCCCTCGCAGATCCACATTCCGCCTTCCCCTCTACCAAACACACTTTTAGACAACTCACACACATTTCTGATTCTGATTCACAATTTCACAACATAGATATTCCTCCATTCATCCAACTCCAATTTCCAACCATGTCGTCGTCGTCTGCACCACCACCACCACCCCAGCCCACCACCCTCCCAATCTCCACCCCACAACCCTCTCAGCCACCTATCGCCACACCCGCATTCCGCGCCTTCATTTCCAGAATCAACGATTTGGCCCGCCAAGGCTTCTCCAAGCGCCGCCCATGGGCGGAGCTCATCGACCGCTCCGCCTTCTCTCGTCCCGATTCCCTCTCCGAAGCCACTTCACGTGCCCGCAACAACTTCTCCTACTTTCGCGTCAACTACGCTATCCTCCTTGCCGGCGTTCTTGCCCTCTCTCTCCTCTCTCACCCCTTCTCTCTCCTAGTCCTTCTCTGCCTCCTCGCCGCCTGGCTCTTCCTCTACCTCTTCCGCCCTTCCGATCCTCCTCTTGTCCTCTTTGGTCGTACCTTCAGCGATCGAGAGACCCTCGGCGGTTTAATTTTGCTGACCTTCATTGTCGTCTTCCTTACCAGCGTCGGCTCGCTCATCATCTCCACTCTCATGATCGGTTTAGCCATCGTCTGCGCTCACGGCTCATTTAGGGTTCCAGAGGATCTCTTTCTCGACGAACCTGAACCTACGGCTACCGGATTCCTCTCCTTCATCGGAGGCGCAGCTTCTTCTGCCGCAGCTGCCGCTGCACCTTCTGTTACCGTACGCGTATAACCATGCATGATGCACTATTATGAGTTGGTTCAACTTTTCAAGGTTGGTTAGGGCATGCATGATGCAAGTGCAACCGGGTTGTTGTTCACTGATCAGAATTCCTCTCATAAATGATGCATTGCATCCTTTTTTTTTTTTTTCTATACTCACTTTAAGTTAGCATTTCTTTTTTTTTTTCTCTCTCTCACACACACACTCTCTCTCTTCTGTATGTAGATCAGGTCTGCAACCAACAAAGTGTAGAGATCTTTCTTGTTATTTCCAATGTGGGTCTTTACACAATTATACTTGAATATTAATTATATTTACGATTGATCTGTTATACAAATAATCATTGATTAACTTTTAAAAATCATGTTCATGTTCATGGACACCTTTTGTCTGGTTGGGTTTATTAGATTTTGTGGATATATCCCCTTTCCGTTTATCTGTTAAGAAATTCTTTTTGGGGTTTTATTGATTCTCCTGTTAATATAATAATTTTTTATAGGTTTGTATTCTCCGATTCTTAAATTTTTATAGGTTTGTACAGAAATGATGATAAATTGATAGTAAAATGTAGGATAATCTATAAAAAAAGGTATTATAGAATGGGTGGGGGGTTTGGAAAAATAAAATCAGAAATCAATAAAATTTATTAGGGTTTAAACCATAAATTTCCCATGCATCATCATTCTAACCCAAACATTATTTTTTGGGTTGTGAGTTTTTCGTTTTTTTGTAATTCTTTTTGGAAAAATCTATGTTGTCAAAAATACATGATACCAAAAGGCTTTGACCAATCACCCCCTCCCCGTGTGAATTTAGATGAAAACTCACCTATTAGTTATCACTTTAATGATTTTCCAGTACCACATCTGTCTAGCAATATTTTAAAAATCAGACGGGACACGGAACTGTTTTTGTTATAGATTTTGGGTCAAACGGTTCTGACCGTATCGTTTGAACAGACGGTCTGTTTTGATTTAAAAAATAGAAAATTAAAATAAAAAAAAATGTCCAAAAACTGTTATTTGGATTGATAGTTTTGACTGTTTGGGTCAGCAGGCTGCTTACCAAATGGTTTTAGGGTGAAACAAGACCGGTTGCCTGACCGGTTCCCGGGTCAACCAATTTGATTGCCCTGCTTGATCCAGTTTTCAAAACCATGCTTTCCAGCACCATAGTTGAACCGATTCTATTTATTTATTTTTATGAGAAAATAGCTCTCACAATATTGGTATAGAGGCAAATTCAGTGTGTTCCGTTAATTTCTTTTTTATTGTTATTTTTATTTATTATTTAGAGAAAATAGAATCTACTATATATTTGATTTGTAAAAAAAGGGGGGGATATGTGCATCTGAGCTCAAGCATCCATTCTTTACTAAGAGATCAGAATCACAGTCTTCACAACAATTGCAGCCTTTATTATCTGTAGTTGTATGTTTTGCATTGGGACTCTATTTGTATGTTCATTCATGGGAAGATGCTTCCGAGTCCGACACGCACCTTTTTCATTAGATAATGACAGGATACAAAGAAAATCAACATTTTCAAAGCAGTATGGAGAAGTTACAGCTACGAGGAATTCACATGGCACCCCACATTCACATCTCAGCGTGCATTGGGAATATATGCCATAATTGTCATTGGGAGATGTTCTTATGGAAAAAAAATGGTGCACGTAACACATATACACAAAATCAATGATCAAGTCAAAACCAGGATACCAATTAATTGGTAAGGTTTCCAGCTGGTGGTAGCAGAGATTTGGGATCTAATCCTGTTCCCACCTGGGTTGGGAGAGAGGAGGGGGTTATTGGCTATCCTTTGTGTAGCCCTTCAAAAGATATAAAAGAAAAAATCAAAACCAGGATACCAATTGATTGGTAAGGTTTTCCTGTTGATCCGTTGTGTAGCCTTTCAAAAGATATAAAAGAAAAAATCAAAACCAGGATAACAATTGGCTGGTAAGGTTTTTGCTGGTGGTAGCAGAGATTTGGGATCGAATCCTGCTTGCACCTGAGTTGGGAGAGAAGGGAGGGGGGGTAACATGGAAGGCGGCTGGAATTACTGCATCATCACCAAGCCTTACGTTTTTTTCTTACTGCGCAATGATCCACGCCTTGGATGTAGGGGTGTCAATTGGACTGAATTTAGTCCAATGAGTCCATTCCAGATGGACCAGGTCTAATCTAATTTGGCACTTTTGGATCAGTCTAATTCAATGTCTGGACCACTCAATCTGTTCAAATTGGTTCTAACCTAAACTTGGTCCATTGACACTTGTATTCTTATATTCTATCAATGCATCATTCAATTCCACCCAATCTATTATAAATTCATTATGGATGGACTAGATCCAATCCAATCCAATAAATACTTTGAACTGGAATGGTCCAATTCAGTATGTCTTATTCGTTCATCCAGTCTGTTCAAATTAATTTTGATTTGGATGGGGTCCAACCCAAAACCGGTCCATTGACTTCCCTACACCCCTAACACCATTTAAAGAGAAAAAGAAAGGAAACCAAATCAAGGGAAATAATATGATGCATGAAGTAGAGTGAGAGTAAGTGGAGAAACCAAGGCAATGCACAAGAAAGAAGAATAAGAGAAGAAAATAATTTAGGGCCCATTTGGTGCATCTTTTTGCGCGGTCTTTCGGCTGTTTACAAGTCGGGAAGACAGAAAATTGGTCTATTCCCGTTTGGCACGTGAAAAATCTAACCACCAAAAGATGGGGCGCCGAAAAGACGCAAGAAGCTCATTTTGGGCTGACGGAAAACTCCAAATGAAGCTTCTCACATCTTTCATGTTTTAATCTTGCAAGGAAAGACCCGAAACAACGCATAGAAAGACGTACGTCTGCCAAACGGTCTTCAAGCTACCCAGATCTTATGTCAAACGCTCAATGTATCTTTTGATTGTCTGAACTACAAGAAGATCTTCTCAAAAAGACTTGTCAAATGGGCCCTTATTGTTTCTCGCCTTCTAGGTAGAAAAAAATAATTCATACAAAACAGGTATCATGGGTATATGAATATAAAAGGGCATTATTGGAATAAGAAAATTGATCATCAACCAAAAGAGAGCGTGAAACTTTAGCTTTTTGTCTTGTTTAATGGATAACTCTTGAAAATGCCCAAAACACTTTTTACCTTGAATTTACTCCCCATTCCCACAACCCAAAGCTCAACAAGCTCAACAAGCAAAGGCCTACCTAAACCAGTGTTTTCAACCCACCATTGGTCAAGATTTCAGGTCTGCTTTTAGTAAAACCAGAAAGATGGTAAAAAATCATTGAATTGGTAAAAAATCACCCGACTCAAACGGTTGGACCATTGACCTATTCGACTCAGTGGTTAGATAGGTTGCACGCTAAATGTGTATGCAAACTTTGGAAGGCCATACCTTTGCACTTCGATGTCTAATTTTGGTGTTTTTTAATTTTGGGTAACTTTTTGAGATTTTTGTGTCCCAAGTTGTCATCGGCGCCTTGCTCCCTTTTTTTAACCTCAATTACAATTTTTAATATTTTTTTATAAATAAAATTTTAAAATAAAATTAAAAACATAAATAAAATATAAAATAATGCATATATTACATGTAGAACATAATTATACATTATTTATTGATAAAATACATTTTATATAATAAATTATCTCTAATCTCTATTTATCCTCTCCCCGACTTTTTATCTATATCTATCTAAAGAAAGTTTGTATTAAAAAATTTAAGAACTATTTAAATATTCTAACAAAATTATATAATAACTTTGAAATATTTATTAAAAATACAAAAAATAATTATAACCGATTTAATAATATTTAAAAAAATACAAAAAATATTTATCCTCTCCCCCACTTTTTAAGAATATTTATAAAATTTATCACAAAATTATGTACTAAAATATAAATTATGATTTTTCGGATTATTCAATTTAAATGTTATTCAAATAATAAAAAATTAACATTAAGTATTATTTAAATATTTCAATAACTAAATATCTTAAATAACAAAATAATAAAATAGCTAAATAATTATATAAAAAAATATTTAATGTTCTATAATAACTTTAAAATAAATAAAATTAAAATAACGCAAATTTTTAAATATTTTATATATTATTTAAATATTTAAATAACTAAACATTTTAAATAATGAAATATTTAACATAAATAGATATTAAATAGTTAAAATAACGAAATTATGTAATAAATTAAAAAAAAATTAAAAGAAAAATAAGTATAACATAATATTTAATAACTTACAAAATTAATTACGAAATTATGTATAATAGTATAAATTATAATTTCACATATTATTAAATTCAATAAATAGTTAATATTTTAAAATTTAAATAAAATCTTAATCTAAATTTATTATATATTTATATATACTAAAATGAATATTTATTGTATTTTTAGTAATTACTTATAGTTTTTTTGTGATAAATATTTTTAATAATTATGTATAAATCTATTTTTGTTTTGTTTTTTAACAGAAAATTTTCAAAATTTATTAGAGATTAAACTATTATTATTTAATTTATTATACTTATTGTATTTTTTATAATTTTTTGATTAATGTTTTTTTGAGATTAAATTGTTATTTGAGATTAAACTATTTATTGGCTAATTTAATATATTTTTAGTATTTATTGTATTTTTATTAGTTATTTATTGTATTTTCATTATCAATATATTTTCAATAATTGTGTATTTTTGTTACAAATTTTCAATAATTATTGGAGATTAACTATTGTTATTTATTAGAAATTAGACTATTATTTTAGTTGAAATTAAGAGTGTTCACGGGTTGGTTTGGTTCGATTTAGTTATAGGTTGTTTGGCCAACCAAAACGACCTAGTCAGGTAGGGAGTTGGTCACCCGAAATCGACTAACCATTAGTGAAAACCAGCCAATTTGGGTTGTATCGGTTTGGTCGGTTGGTTCAAAAGATTTAAATGTAAATTTAAAAAAAAAATTACAACGGCATTATCAAAAAATAAATTTATGATATAAAATATTTTAGACTTAGAAATATGGGTATTTCTCACTTTTTTGTATTATAAAATGATATTTAAAATATAAAATATTAATACATATATGTATAGTTGAGTCGTTTGATTTTGGCTAGATTACAAATG